CTAAATTGAGAAGCGATTCCACCTCTGAGCAAGTGTTGTGACGCAGAATTTAGTTTTCACAGTATAATCAGCTTCCTGATGTTATGTTTTACAAGCCGGGCCTATTCCAGACAAACCAGTTACGTGATTTTGCATAAAACTAATTACAGGATAAGTGCACTTTACACAAAAGTACATTCCTCCTAGACTTCTACAGGACAATAGCCCCATGGAAGCCTTAGGGCAGGGGTAGGCAAACTCCGGCCCTTGAATCCCCTCATGCATCTGTCTCTGGGAGTCATGCCTGTGAAAATCTGGCAATGCCTCATGGGATTTGTAGTTCCACAACAGCTAGAGGGCCGGAGTTTGCCCACTCATGACCTAAGATGGTGGCGGCTGTGGAGGAGGAGGAGGATGGTGGAGCAGGAGGAGGAGCATGGTGGCGGTGGTGGAGGAGGAGGAGGATGGCGGCGGCAGTGGAGGAGGAGGAGGATGGCGGCGGCAGTGGAGGAGGAGGAGGATGGCGGCGGCAGTGGAGGAGGAGGAGGATGGCGGCGGCAGTGGAGGAGGAGGAGGATGGCGGCGGCAGTGGAGGAGGAGGAGGATGGCGGCGGCAGTGGAGGAGGAGGAGGATGGCGGCGGCAGTGGAGGAGGAGGAGGATGGCGGCGGCAGTGGAGGAGGAGGAGGATGGTGGCGGAGGGAGGAGGGGGTGTCATACATAGAGGGAGCTCGCATTTTTATGTATGGTCCACTTTAAGACACCATGACTCCTATTCACACATAAAGACAGAAGGAAAGGACACTCACATGACGGCGCTCACCACCTTCGGGTGGCGGCTCATCCCCAGGTAGTCATTGCTGCACCAGACCGACACCGTCTTCTTGCTCGTCAGGGTCTCCGAATAGTCGTCCGCCATGGGGAAGACCTGGGCGCGCCGGTTGACCGTCTTGAAGACGCGGTAGGTGTGGTCGTTCTTCTTCTCTTCGATTTTTTTCTCGAAGAACTTGTCGTAGTGGAAGGTGCGCACGGCTTCAAAACCAACAAACAGATATAACGTTACCACAATGCACGCAGAGCCGATTAAACAAACGATTGCCCAACTGTCCCGGGGGAAAGGTATCAGCGCTAAAAAGGGACATTCGATCCTGTAATCGCTGTGTACACAATGACCCACATAGCACACACGGCTATCACATGTCTGTGTTTGTACGCTGGCTCTGATCCCACATTCTTCAGGATTTAGGATTAATTTCCACCTTTGCAGCCAAATATGAGAAAACACCCTTTATGGGGGCCATTTATGATCAATTTAAAGGGCCCTTCGCCCTAAGGACACCCGTGAATGTTCGTTTTGGGCGAATAATGGCAAAAGGGAATATATTTTGTTCCCAGTTCGAATGCAGTGTGTTGTAATAATACATGACGGCCACTAGATGGAGCTGAGGAATATAGAAAATAAGTATTTATACCCTTTGCTCCTCCGCTCCATCTAGTGGCCGTCATGTATTATTACAACACACTGCATTCGAACTGGGAACCAAATATATTCCCTTTTGCCATTATTCGCCCAAAAAGAAACTTTTTTTCTTTGACTGGAATAGGAAATGGATATGAGTTTATTCTTTTTTTAAATGTCTGGTGACCCAACTGGGCGATAACTAAGGTCTTAACTATAACCCGCCACCATCTGGGGCAATTGTCACCAGGGCAGGAAGACAAGGACAGCAAAAACACTCCCCCACTCTACTCAAAACCTGTTTTTGCCAGTGTCCCCTTTGGAGAGAATTCCCTTCACTTCCTGAACTGATGGTAACTGAGGGGAGACCTCACCCAATGGACACAGACTGCCATAAAAACCTCTACCCATCCCCCGCTCCACCAAAAACAAGGCTTGGTCTAAGACGAGGTTTACAATGACCAGGAAGGTAAATCCACTTACATTTCGGCATGTTGTCCTGGAGGAGATGGGACACCAGCTCGGGTTTCTGCTGCAGAACGCTCTCTTGAAATTTTTGCAGCACTCCGATCTTTTTTGGCGGGGTCTCACTTTTAGCTGCGGGCTCCATTGCCGGCGAGCCGCCGACATCTGAAATGCAAAGTATGAAAAAATTCCGTCACGCCAGATACTTCCACATATGGGACTTTACTTCATAAAAGGCGATGGTGGCGACTCACAGGGCGACCAATATGAACTCGTACTTGTCTCCCCTCCCCCAGGGATCAGTCCGCTGCGGGCAGGAGGAAGCATTTCCTCAGTCTCCCCTCCCCAATGATCAGACTGCAACATTGCAGCAAGTCAAAATTGAGGGGCTACAGCAGGGGTGTCCTGAGGCCGGGTGTCATCCCACCGCGTCAGCATCGCGTGTGCGCGTGACGTCATCGCGCATACGCGACCATCTGATTGATGCCGGCCGGTGGCCATCTTGGTGATGGACGCCGGCAGAGAGAGGAGGGGACGTTCACCCGGCGGGATGGGGACCCGGCGGCATACCTCTCCTCTGTCCTGACACTGTCGGGCGTTCGGTCCAAGACCGAGTGCCCGACATTTTAGAAAGGGGTGACACCAAAATGACTGTCAGTCATTTTGGTGTCACCCCTGCACTGGTGACACCCGGGTGGAGCCGTACCACCCCTTGTGATGCCACTGGGCTACAGCATGGTGCTAATTTGTGTCAGGCATTTGTGAACACAGCCAAGAACTGCACAGACGTCAGGATTTACATGATTGTGACATCTCCGAGCCGCCATTCAGCAATACTATATCCAATGCTGGGTCCACTTTAAGATTGGAGCTTTCTCAATAAGATTTGGTGACAATTAAGCCTATTAGCATACCAAACATTCCAAAACAGGTATATTAGGGAAAAGCAATAAGGGCAAATCTAAAAGGTCTTCAATACATACCCCTCCCCCCCTTCCCACATCCTTTTACAAAGAGGTGGTTTTACCCCCCCGGGGGCAAACTTAAGCTGGATTTTGCCCTCCACTGGACAAGTTTGCTTGTGAGATTGTCTTCTAACCTCATCAGCTACGGAGGGCCGTTGCTACTGAAGTTACACATAATATTATTACCCCAGATTTGGTTTCCTCCTGCGCAATACAAGAGAAGAGAATCGTACGCAACATGAATGTCCCAACTGGCCAAATAATAAGAACTTCCTCATGTCAAAAACCCCCGAACTATGAAATCCTGGCCGCTCCTCTGCTACACCGAAGGTCTAAATTCCTTCATGACAAATCGGCTCACAAGGAAGGCCGAGATCTCTACATGTGACTCCGGGAAAAACCCGACAAACATTAAAAAGAATAAAAATGTAAACAATGACTCAGGACACACAAATCATAAAACTTAAACATTGGGACGGTAAACCAAACACAGGAGGCAACAAATGTATGACATGAGAGAGACGATGAAGTATGAAGAGCGTGCACACAGCTCCTCCATCAATGTCCACAGCAGAATTTATGTTGTATGTAAACTTCTAACATGAGACACTAAAGAAATACGTTGTATCAAAAAAATGCAACAAATCTAAAATGATTAACCAGCTGTGGACACTAAACACCCTACATGTTCCAAAACCAATCACTGATGTATGCATGGGGTGTGTAGTATGCCCTGTCCCTCCTGACATCTCATGTGCCAGCAATTCCTGCCCGTCACACCATCATCCAGGAGATACTGTGTACATAAAACAGATGTAGAAGCTGCTAATGTGAAGGGGGGGGGGGGGGGGGGGGGCAGAGATAGAGATACAAAGTAACATTGTATATAAACATTGATTAGAGGGGAGATAGAGATACAAAGTAACATTGTTTATATACATTGATCAGAGGGAGAGATACAAAGTAACATTGTTTATAAACATTGATCAGAGGGAGATAGAGAGTTACAAAGTAACATTGTTTATAAACATTGATCAGAGGGAGATAGAGATACAAACATTCTTCTCAAACGAACACTTAAAAAGGTGCTTTTTTTTTATTGCGTTACATTTTGCGCATTGATTGCATTAAAAAAACAAAAACAATATCACTAAAAGAAAGCCTCGTATGTCCAAATAAAAAAAATGATACGTGTATTATTTGTAGGCAGAGTTATTGTTGACTAAACAGGCCCATAGCAGAAGACCTCTCATAGCCCGCTTTCAGGCAACATTTGTTTTTCAATCACGTGGGGAAGATTAGACTCTCGGGTCAGGTTTTAAATTCTGCGTCCTTATTGGGGAAAATCTCCTTCACTTCCTGTTCTGACATCATACAGGAGCGAGAGCAATACAAAGTCTACAGTGGTTCTACCCTCCCCCGCCATATTTTACAATAAGAAATCATCAGATTCAGAGGGCACTCACCCTTCCTCAGGCTCTGCATTTCATGCACGTCCTCCTGTAACGCAAGACTGGCCTTGCGGAACACGCTGCTGTTCTCCTGGGTCAGCTGAGCCGCCAGAAAGGGACATTTAGAGGCGTTCTGACCGCTGGCAACCCCGGCATGGTCCGCCGGCAGCTGAGGGGCCGCAGACCCCTGTGGAGCTTTGATGTTCTGCACACCTGAAGATGACAGACAGGAAAAGAAGAAGTCAGCGAGGCAGCAAAGACAGGATGGAAAACGCTGCTTTATACCAAGAACATATAATAAAAGGAAATACAAATCTGAGCAATCATTGTTCATCTTCCAGCTTCTCATTTATAAAAACTGAATTCATCCAACGCGGATATAATAATGTATATGGCGGAGCGCCGCGCTTTTTTAGTATATATGAAGAAACGTTATATTGCATCTATGCCGATTTAAACTGAAACTTCCGTTGGGGTTTAATGTAGGGCTGCAACAACTAATCGACTAAAATCGATTATTGAAAAAGTTGTCAACTTTTTCAATCATCGATGAATCGGCTTCCGATTAGTTGGCCCCATTCACGGCTCCACACACACTGCGCGCCGCACCTCCTCCCCACCTCGCGCTTGTCGCTGCCAGACCCGCCCGCATCCACGCTCCACACGCCGCACCTCCTCCCCGTCCCTCACAAATCGGCACAGGGACGCGGGGGAGAAGAAGGAAGGAGGAGCAGGTGCAGGGGGATGACAGCTGCCGATAGACAGGCCCGATCCCAGAAGCAAGTTGCTGGAAGGCTGCTGAGGTAAGCCTGCACTTTCCCACACATGGTGCTCTATAATGTATTGCTGGGATTTGTAGTCCTTTATAGCCGATGCCATTCTGCATTGATTGCTGTATAATTTTACACTTTCCATTTCACATTATTGCACACCACAGTTTTTTTTACTTCCACCGCTCCGAAGTTGGCTCCTGTGATGGACTGCAATCTCAATACAAACTAGCAGTTCATCACTGGAGCCATTTTTTTTTTAAATCCTGATTAACCGATTAATCGATCTCAATAATCGGCTTAACTAATCGATTTGTGAAAATAATCGTCAGCTGCAGCTCTAGTAAGTGCGTCCAGATAACACGCGAGTCACCGGAGTGCGTGCAGATTACACGGGAGTCACCGGAGTGCGTTGGGAGGACGGCCTTGGGGGCAGAGAAGGGTTCATGGTCATGTGATGACAGAGGGCGTATCAGGTGCCTGGGTGTGATCTCACCTCTCCTCCAGTCACACAGGTAATATGAGTAGACCCACACCAGAATTATGGCTGCCAGTACCAGTGACACGCCACCATATGTAATTGCTGCAGAGCTGCTGTGAGACTTTTCTATCGTCATCAACAAGTCCCAATTCATGGAGTTGTATAATGATCCGGGAGGAGTCATATGCCTCCGAGCCATGTAAAGGAAAAAGGAACCAATCAGGAGAGACGATAGAAGAACCTCAACCGCTGACTTGTGTTACACTCTTCATCAATGTCACCCTGACCCCGGGATCACTATATAGCGAGCCGCCAACAGGGAACAAGCATGCAGCCATTGAAGTATGAAAAGGTCTCAACTTCCCTCCTGGCCGGGAGATCGATGAGACGCCCCCCTTTCCCCGCAGTGCTCAGTAGTGGAATTATTTTATAATCTGGGATAAAGTGACAATAAATTTCCCTCTTTTTATTTCCTGGGCGCACGGCTCACCTTGCTCTCCGGGTGACGTCTCCCTGGTCTCCTGGTGGCACACGGCGGAGGTGCTGAGCCTGGCGCTGGCCAGGGTCCGGGGGCCCATCATGACCGGGCAGTTCTGGGCGTAGGTGATCAGGGACTTGCCGGCTTTCTGCAGGAAGGTCTGGGAGACCCGGGAAAGGAAAGGGCAACGACGGACGATCGCCTCCATTTTGATTGCTGGGTCTGAAAAGAAGAAATGAAATAAGAAATGACACACCGAGACGAATGTCGCCCAGATCTACAATGGAATGATGAACTACAAATCCCAGCAACCCCCCAAAGCCTCAATAAGAGGGTTCCAACTCCAGGCTCTATTGGTGAACTACAAGTCCCAGCATCCCCCTGCTAGCTTCTATAGGAAAAATTATGGTCCCAACATCTGCCCTCCCAGTCCCTATTGGTGAACCACAAGTCCCAGCACCCCCTCTCCTCTACAGGTGAATCCCCCACTCCCAGGCTCTATTGGTGAACTAGAGGTCCCAGCTTTCCTCTCTACGCACCAACTACAAGTCCCAGTCCTCCCTGTGAGCCCCCACGTCAGCCTCTCCCCCGCTCTCCGGTCTCCCGTACTCACACTCGGTCTGCTTCGCTCTATTCGCGTTATACAATGTCACCTATAAACGAGTCCCTTCCACCGGTGTCCTCGCCGAGCCTTCGCCCCGCCCCGTCCGCCTATTGGCCCACTGCACCGCCCTGCCTCCTCCTCCGGCCAATCCCCGCTGCCGTTGTCCCTGACTGGCATTCTATCCTCCCAATCGCCCCCAAGCGGCCGATTCGTCATCCCCCAGCACAGGCCCTTAGTGACGTCATCATGCTCCGCCACGCCTCCTTCTCTTTCAGTCTGGGAGCTTAAAGGGCAACACCTGGAATGTGACAGCGGCCATGTGTGTTCACAGCTGGGACCCGGGAGGCTCCTAGGGACACTAAAACGCCTCCTACCCAATGCTCCAATCAACAGCGCCGCTCAGGAAACATGAGCACTGTTGATTGGAGCACCGGGCAGGGGGCGTGTCACACCTGTACAGACCCCGTCCTCTGAGCTCTGTGTTGAGCGGCGGTCCGACTCTCTAGCGTGCTGCGAGCTCAGATCATTGTAACACAAAGCCGCAATGTATGTAATAGGAGATAAAAGACATTTCCCTCCTGTAGAGGTGACCTAGTTACAGTAATGAATATGGAAGCTGGAACGGGCCCTATTATTACTACAGTCAGCAGCACAAAGGGCCACCTGGGAAAGAGTCCACAAGAACCAGCCGCAGTCCCCCGAGCTGGCCCACATACCCAACAATGGGCCGTCAGGTGGGTCATTGTAATATAAAGAGTATTTTCATCCTTCCGCATTCCTCGGGGTGATTAGGAGGGAGGGGGAGGGGCGGTATAATGAGCGGTTATTACGGTAAAGATCTCCTGTAGGTACTTGTTGAGGGCGCAGACGTCGGCTCTCTGCACGGCAGACACAGGGCTCCTTGTACCCAGATTACCCGAGAAGAAAATCATTATGACTAATGAGCCTCATTATCGGCCTTGTCATGGCAAACATCTCTGCGCTCAGTCACGTCAACACCGAGAGGGAAGATCTGACCACTGAGAGCACCAAACACCAATGACCAGAGAGATACAACGACTACATGAGAACTATTATTATTAGTGACTGAGATAAACGCTCATATATATACATACACTGTATTACCAAAAGTATTGGGACGCCTTTACACGCACATGAACTTTAATGGCATCCCAGTCTTAGTCCGAACCAGACACGGGTGTGGGCAAAGCTACCTGTTAGCTTAAAATCTGAACTCCGGGATCACTAAATACTGTCCCCATACAACAGGCATGTGTATTTCTTCCAGATCTGTGCAGTAATTCAGTGTGAGACTTGGAGCTTCCTGTAATAAAGACCGCTCACTGCTGCTCTCTCTCCTTGTGCAGGGTGACCGGTCTGGTCTCCGCCCGCTCCTGTAATAAAGACCGCCCATCCGCCCCCTCCTGTAATAAAGACCGCCCACTGCTGCTCTCTCTCCTTGTGCGGGGTGACCGGTCTTGTCTCCGCCCCCTCCTGTAATAAAGACCACTTACTTCTCTCTCCTTGTGCAGGGTGACCGGTCTCGTCTTCACCCTTTGCTGTAGGTTTTTTGCAGGTAGCCTGTAGTGGTTTGAGGCCTGCTTGGTCCCTCCCACAACACTGCTATGTACATAGACTACGTGCTGCACGAAATCATGTACATACAGTCTGGGTTCCTCTTTATGATTCCTGTGAGAACACTAGACGGGATTGGATATTAAATAGGCGGGGTCCCTTTTTATTTTTGTTAGGGGGCCCCATTACACATAGTTACACCCGGCTCTGCTCCGATGTGTGTAAACACAAAGCCCACTTGGTGAGTCACTTCCCGACTGCCCGGCTTTACTGCGTCTCAGTAACATTTCGCTTTGGCATGTTCCGGGTGTCTCATAAAAAATAAAAAAAACAATTGCATATTTCCTGCTACAAATAAGTATAAAGGTCACATGTTCACATTCCAAGAGTCTGGTGAAAGGTGACGAGGGATCTGGATATGAGAGTCTCAGATATTAAAGAGCTGCGAGATGATCACATGACGGGAAAATGAGAAGAAATGTCAATATAATATATATATCCTTTTTGCCCCTTTCCACTGACCCCCCCCCCTTCCTCCATGGCCGCGTTTTTGCTGTTTGTTTACATCAAGGGCCGAAAGTCTTTTCTGTCCTGGTCGCACCTGTTCATCCCCCC